CAAGTATTATCAGCAATTGGTCGAATTGAAGAAAGCAACTGATGAAAAACGTCCGATTTTGGCCAATCGCAAAGGAGTTCTTTTCCATCATGACAACGCCAGGCCACATGTTGCAAAACCGACCCTGGCCAAACTGAAGGAGATGAATTGGGAAATCATGCCGCATCCCCCATATCCCCCCGACCTCACACCTTCTGATTATCATTTGTTTCGATCGCTGCAGAACAATTTGAATGGGAAAAAATTTAAAAATGTGGAAGACGTCAAAAACCACTTTGGCATCTTTTTCAACGAGAAACCGCGCGATTTCTATGAATCAGGCATCCGTAAGTTGGTTGAACATTGGGAGTGGTTTGCCGAACATGATGGCGAATACATAATTGATTAATAAAAGCGATTTCTTCAAAAAATTTCGATTTTAGTTTGCACTTGAAATCGGGCACGAACTTATGCACTATTCAACAACTTTAACATATTTAAATTTACGCTATATTGGAATCCACATACAGTACATAGATATTATATATGCTCAAACTTAGGCGTCAACGTCGCCTATGTACTCATATCAGTAGAGCTCACCAAAAAAACGAAGTGGAATCAATTTCACTTTCCGTAAATGAGTAGAAATCTTATGCATAATCGTTTAATAATTGCGATCGTGAAAACACGAACAGTCATCGGCTAACAACAGGGTGGTAGCGAGTTGCGTGTTGACCCAATAGTTGACTACGGAGCAATACCTCTTGGATTAGTCCAATAGCCCATATCGTCTTCACATTTTTACAGGGTAGGTGTATGTGTGTGTGTGTCTGTGTGCGCGGCGCTGAAGTTACCAGCCATTTTGGGCGTCACAGGTTGCGGTTTGTGGTTTTAGGAGTTTATTGAACAGCCAGCCATTTTCTATTTAAAATCAAACATTATTCTGTACGAAATTCAATATGTGCACTTGTACTCGTATATATGTGGGTAGGTATTTGTGTACAAAACGCAGGTGTGCATATATGTGTGCTACAATGCAATGCGACAAGTTTTAATTGCAAAATGTTCGTATACAATACATACATACATACATATATACAGACGCTTTTGCGTTTTCATTGAATCTACTACTACATATGTATCTATAGTTATAGTATACGAGTATGTGTGTATGTGGGCGAAAGCCCACGTTTTTAACGGTGCATAGTGTTGAAATAGATAATTCGCTCTATTTTCCATAGATTTCAATTAAGCTCTTAAAGCGATTATAAAAACCCTCGAATAAAACAAAAAACAAGTAAACAAACTAAATTCCTAGTGAATTTGTTATTTTTAAGTAGCACTTAAATAAATGTAAATAAAATCTATAGCGTTGGAAAACTCTCAAATTAAGTACTTTTCAATGAAAAAGAAGAATCAAACTTTTTAACATTAAGGATTATTAAGTGGAGAGTTATTTGCAGGAAATTTGTAATAAATATTTTTAATATAGTTTTTTAAATACCGTTTTTAACATGCATAATACGAGGTGTGCTCAAAAAATATCGCGATGTTTTTGTTTTTTTTCAAAAACTATTTATTTATTCATGAATATCTACTTTTTGCCCTTTAAAGCAATCCCCATGAGATATTAAACACTTGTGCCAACGGTTTTTCATTCTTCGAAGCACTTCAAAAAATCATTTTTTTTAACTTGTTCAGCTTCTCCTTCGCTGCCATCTTTATCTCGTCAATCGTAGTTTAACGTCGTCCTTTCATGGGCCTCTTCAGTTTAGGGAACAAGAAAAAGTCACAGGGGCCAGGTCTGGGGAATACGGTGGCTGCGGCATCATTAGTGTATTGTTTTTGGCCAAAAAGTCGCGCACAAGCTACGATGTGTGAGCAGGGGCGTTATCGAGGTGCAAAAGCCAATTCTTGTTTTTGCACAAATCCGGGTGTTTCTGACCGTTTTACCTTGTGGCAAGAACTCATGATGCACTACGCCCCTGGAATCGAAGAAAACTGTCAGCAAAACTTTCATTAAAAATTAGAAATCGAAGGCCATCCATAACACGTGCAAGCAAAGCAGCTGTCAACAATTAAGTAAACATTCAAAATGGCCGAGCTTGTCGGCATAAGTGACAGACATGAGTACCAAAATAACGCCACAAAAAAATCGAAATTCGTTTATACGTAACCCGCGAAAATTCAAAATTCGCGATACTTTTTGAACACACCTCGTATATAAGTGGATATATACACATGTACGTGTGATTTAATAATCCTTAAAAGAGAATTTTTGTTCATTAGTGTAATGAAACTTTCAGAAAAGCACCGAGCTTCGTGCGTAATAGAAAACAAAAGTTGTTGGCCACAGCTCAGTAGATAGAAAATGTTATAATAAAAATTAAGCCTCCGAAAGAACTTAAAGCCAAACATTAAAAATAACTCCGCACCCTTTTTAACACATGAATTTTTAATGATTTTGGTTTAGTTAGTCCACCCTCGTATGAAATAATATATTTTTTTTCAGTGACCCCCACATATTCATTTATGAGCTCATATACGCTCCTTTGTTTGAACCCATTAGTCCAATAACTGTTGCCGTTTGACTTGGAGATGCGATGCCGGTTCGCTCAATGGACTGAAATCGCTTGGCAGAACGTCAAGATCAACGGACTGAAATCGCTTGGCAGAACATGAGGATTGC